TTTGGAGCCAGTGTGAGAAGGTCAGAGGTCAGAGGTCATATCACTGAGTTCATCATAGCACAGAATGGTGGCTACTTAAGCACTCTGCTTCCTGTGAGGAGCCCTGTGAGCAGGTCGACCTTCGAGATCACCGTGCTCTCTCTCTCTCTCTCTCAGGGTCAGGGCCATGCTGGACTCACTTCCTGTCCCTACAGATTCTCTGTGTCACAATGAGCTTAGTAAATTCAGAACTGGGACATAGTCACGTTGCTGCTATAAAGTGAGCATCTGCTCAATGCCAATAATTTCCCATCAGTTATAAAATGTGACTAACTTCTCTCACCAACTCCAAAACATAGCTGGAAGCTTCCTATTTATGTAAATAAGGAACCAAAGGCCTGAAAGTGTCATTTTCTATCATAAGAGAAATATTCAAGAGGCATGTGCGAAGTTGAGTATTCATAAGCTGAACTACTGAGTCCAATGTGTGACGGTGTAAGTCCAGACCCGAGGTATGTGAGAAGATTCTTAAAGAGCCAAAAATCTACTTATCCTGGAATCTGACACTGGATCTCAGCCTTGGTAGTCAGAGTGGTCACACACCAGGACCTGCAGCATCAATATTAAGTAGGAGCTGGTTACAAGTGCAGAATCTCTGGGTCACACTGGACCTGCCCATCAAAATATACATCTGAACAAGATCCCAAATACATATATCCATTGATGCTGGAGAGGTTCTGGTCCTGAATGGTATCTCTCATCTCTGCACTGTTGACACATCTGCTGGATTCCTCTTTGTGGCGGGGACATCTGTGCATTGTAAGACGTTGAGAGGCAACCCTGCCCTCAATCCAGTAGCTGCCAGTAGCACTTCCCTAGCTGCTGAGAACAAACACTTTCTCTAGATATTGTCAATTATTCCTTGGTGGCAAAATTTTTCCAGTTGAGACCCACTGGCCTGGACAAGAAGCATCTTGAGGGAGTTCCAAAGAAAGTCATTCTCTTTCTCAGTTCATAACTCAGGGCAGATGCTTCACCCTCTGAGCCTCATTTCTGCAAATGTAGAATGGGTTTCATAATAGTACCAACCACACAGAATGGACATATATAAAAATGAAATAATATAAACCACATAAGATTCTGAGCTCAGTCCACAGTGCATAAAAAGATCTAAATATATCTTATAATGAAACATTTTTAGTAGAAGGAGTGAATGATAGCTCTAAATTAGATTTATAAGCATGTATCTCCTAACTGATTTGTCGGAAGTAAGATAAAGTCAAGAATTATAGTACCATTTGTTTTGTGGCAAAGGAACACATATTTCTCTCTTGTTGAAGAGGGGGTTAGCAATTTTCTGAAGATATCAGGAGCTGTTCCTACCACAAGTCAGTTCTGTGGAAGTCCAAGTCAAGACAGACTTCTCAGTGGTACATGTGGAGAAAATATTAACTTAAGGTTAGGATAAGGTTGAAGGAGATTAGACCTCTGGGAGGCAGCTGAGTCCATAGAGAAGGAATAACAAAAACTTGATTCACTTGACTTCTAATATGTTCTACAGGGAACAGTGAATCAGCAGGAAATTTTTCTTTCTTTCTAGACCAGGATCCCATGGGGAAATATTGTGCTCAGTGGTGGGAGTAACAGTGAAAACAGTGCCTAATGAGCAGATAAAGGGAGCTGAAAATGTCTTCTCAGTTGCAGACCCTTAGCGTGTGCACCTTGAACTGGACAGAACATGATTGCTACTTTGGGATTTCTAACTCTGGCTGGAGACCAACACTTTACTCTTTCCTTCTGTCTTCTCTGGGGACAGAGCTTTGGTCTCCATCATTAATGATACAGGCAGGAATTCAGACTTCCACACAAAGAATTTCCACTCAGAGACACCCTCCAGGTGAGTCTGAAAGCCCAGTAGCTACTTCAGGAAAGATTTTGAGAGATTGGAACATGAGAACTTGTACTTGAAGTCACCCGAGAGCCGAATCAGCCTAACTCACAGCTGAGAGATTGCCATCTTTGTGGAATTAATTTTTAACTAATTACTTTAATATGTTACAAAGAGAAGTGTCTGTTGGACTGAGCAATACAAGGAGTAAATACAAGAGTAATTGTTGACAATCAAGAGATAAGAGTGGAAGTGCAGTTGGATGAGATGGAGGAGGGAAGTGGACGCATAAACTGTTTTAATAAAATTAGAACATATGAGAGGAATCTTGCAATTAAGGGCAGTGGGAAAATAGAGAAACAAAGGCATTTTTCCAACTTTTTAAGATAGGTTGCATTTGAGCCTGTTTTGTATTTATTAGAAAGGTCTAGCCCTGGCTGGCGTAGCTCAGTGGATTGAGTGCAGGCCTGCGAACCAGACAATCGCGGTTCGATTCCCCATCAGGGCACATGCCTGGGTTGCAGGCCAGTTCCCAGCAGGAGCCAGTGCCCAGCAGGGGATGCACCAGAAGCAACCATACATCGATATTTCTCTCCTTCTCTCCTTCTCTTCCCTTCTAAATAAATTTTAAAAAAAGGTCCAGACCCCTGGACATAGATATTGCCTCACAATAGCAGGTCCTGAGACATACCTTTCAGAGTACCATCATTCACACTGGGATCCAAATGAAAAATTGCATTTAATACGTGAATGAGCATTACTTTGCAATACGTTATTACCAAGAGGTGGGGAAGCAATGGAAATATTTGTGAGATAGGAGAAAAAACTATCCAAATCTCACCAGTGATAACTATTCATTTAGTAACAGGGAGGAACTGTGCTAGGCTTTTAAGGGAGAATATGAACATGTAATGATGAATTTAGAATCATTCTGTTGTCTCTCTAAGTTCAAGCAGCTAATGTGTGGTTGGTACACCAAGATTCAAAACAGATTCAGTTTTCTGATTCAAGAAGTTTTGCACCTAAAATCATTTAGAAAGTCTCACCAATTATCTTTTTAGTCCTCATATTGTTGTACATTATATATTTTATGTTGTAAATTGTGTGTTTATTCCCTTAGCTTATTGGTCTAGTAAATGTTCAGTCAAGAACATGTCTTGACACCATAAAGACAGCGCTCTTTTCTCTTTTGGGTAAATTGTTTTTTGCTGTTTGATCAGTTATTCTGGGCGTCAAGGGGCTAGAACTGTGGTTGGAATGTTGCCAGAATCAGGGAGCTTTGTGCTCACGTCAGTCCCTCAGGGGCCCTCCGAGCTCTTGGATCTCATTTTACTCCATGTCTGTTTCTCTCCTCTTTCACGTTTCCCCAAATGCCTCTTAAATTTTTTAATATAGGGCACAAAAATAATCTCATTAAAATGGATTTCCATGTTTACATGTTCTCAGGAGGCTTACCAGCTTGTTGGGAAATATTCCTACAATCTTCATAATAAAGATAATATGATATTAAAAACTTGCTTTATTTATATGATTCTCTTCGCAATTATTGCAGCTGTAAGTGAGGAGACCAGGGAGGCATGGGGCCCCAGGAGGTCACAGTGTGCTGTGTGTTGCATGTGTTGCGTGTATGCACACACATGCATGTTTTGTGGGGCACAAGTGTTTAGATTACACTGTGGGCAGTGTTACCTAAGCTCATGTACTCCAAAATGTAGACCTTTAAAAAGACAGTATAATCTTAACCAAAAGATAGAAATAAAGAAAACAACAATTCTATTCACAGGAATCTTTTGAAACAAAATATAAAATTAAAAAAACAACATGTAGGAGAGGGACTACCTATATCCTAATTGCAGCAGCAGCAGCAGCAGCAGCAGCAGCAGTGAGGCCACCTTGTTCCTCCACATCCTCTGACACCATCCCTCATCACTCTCCCTCTTCCTCATCCCCCTTCACACTCTGACTTCCCAAGAACCATGTGATTTCACTCATATGTGGGATATAAAGCTGAAGCAACAAATGAGCAAATAAGAAAAAAAGGACAAAAACTCAGGCACAGAGACAATGATATGGTGGTTACCAGAGGAAAGAGGGGTGAGGGGTAGTAAAGAGTAGAGGGAGTCACATACATGGTGACAGAAGAAGACCTGGCTTTGGGTGGTGGGCTCACATGTAATAAACAGATGGTGTGTTATAGAATTATACATGGAACCTATATACTTTGATTTATTTTTAAATTAAATTTATTGGGATGACATTAGTTAATATAATTTTATTCATCTATGTAACCACAATAAATTTAATTAAAAATGAGCCTTGGGTATCCAAAACAGATGCAATCATCAGAGTCTTTGCCATGACCCTTCTCACAACAGGGCACACACTTCCCCTAGACAACTGCATGACTCCCACTCTGCCTTTCTCTGGGCCTCTGTTCAAATGTTACCTGGGTTGCAGGGCTTCCTGAACTCTGTGAAATACAACACCCCATACACTCCAGTTTTTTAAATATTTTATTTATTTATTTTTAGAGAGAGGGGAAGGGAGGGAAAAGAGAGGGAGAAAAATATCAATGTGTGGTTGATTCTCATGCACCCCCTACTGGAGACCTGGCCTGCAATTCAGGTGTATGCCTTGACTGGGAAGTGAACCAGCAACCCTTTGATTCTCAGGCTGGCACTAATCCACTGAGCCACATCAGCCAGAGCCCCATGCATTCTATTTTACACCTGCTTTTTTTCATAGCATCTATCATCCTCTGACATAGTATATATTTTATATTTGCTAATTTATATTCTTTTTTCATCATTGGGTTATAGAAAAACTTTGTTTCTCAGCATTCTATACTCTTACCTTAGAAGGTGGTCAGTACTCAACATAAATTCCTCAAGTGCATGAAAGACTTTTGCATTATGACTATATATTACATGACCTCTTGGGAATAAGACTGAGTGTGGGACAAGGATTCCTAATCAGAGATGTCACATCATATTCTTTAAAGACTATATGCTCAAGATAAATATAAATGTATAATTTCTTAACTGAAAAACATAAATTATAGCATTTCACTATGGTAATACCTACATGTGTAAAAATGAATCATTTTATTTCTCTTCCTAGTTTTGAGCAAAACCTCATGGTACAAGGCAATGAATCACAAATTTCAGAGTTTCTTCTCCTGGGATTATCAAAGGAACCAGAACTGCAGCCCATCCTATTTGGGCTGTTCCTCTTCATGTACCTAATCATTGTGTTGGGAAACCTGCTCATCATCCTGGCCATCAGCTCAGACTCCCACCTCCACACACCCATGTACTTCTTCCTCTCCAACCTGTCTTGGGTAGACATCTGTTTCACCTCCACCACCATCCCAAAGATGCTGGTGAACATCCAGACACAGAGCAAAGTCATCACCTATGCAGGCTGCATCACCCAGATGTATTTTTTCTTACTCTTTGCAGGGTTGGATGTCCTTCTCTTGACTGTGATGGCCTATGATCGGTTTGTGGCCATCTGTCACCCCCTGCACTACACAGTCATCATGAACCCCCAGTTCTGTGGGCTGCTGGTTCTGATGTCCTGGATCATTTGTATCCTCAATTCTTTGTTAGAAAGCTTAATGGTGTTGCAGCTGTCCTTCTGTCCAGATGTGGAAATCCCCCACTTTTTTTGTGAACTCAAACAGGTTGTCCAACTTGCTTGTTCTGACACCTTTCTTAATGACATGGTGATGTATTTTGGAGTTGGTCTGCTGGGTGGTGTTCCCCTGGCAGGGATCCTTTATTCTTACTCTAAGATACTGCTCTCCATACATGGAATGTCATCAGTTCAGGGAAAGTATAAAGCATTTTCTACTTGTGCGTCTCACCTCTTGGTTGTCTCCTTATTTTATTGCACAAGTGCAGGAGTGTATTTTAGCTCTGCTCCTACCCACAGTTCATTCTCAAGTGCAACAGCTTCAGTGATGTACACCGTGGTCACACCCATGCTGAACCCCTTCATCTACAGCCTCAGGAACAAAGACATAAAGGGAGCTCTGAAAAGATTCTTTGGGATGGCAGCTATGAAAAGACTAATTATTCTGGGGCTGAAAAAGTTCCCATGACTGGTCATAATGTTGAAAACATTAGAGTCAGAAATTGCTATTCTTTGATTAGACTGGAAAAAGTACACTTTCTATTTAATGCCTGGAACCTTCTTTGATTTGAAATTCCTTCTACAATTAAAAACGCACTGACTGAGCTTCCCGTTCTGTCTGATATATGGACAGTTTTTCATTATTAAATTTTCCTATTCTCTCCAAGGTTTTTCCAAAGTTGGATGAGAAATATTTGGAAATTTTCATTTATTTTATAAGGTAAATTAGATTCATTAAAACTATTTTTCTCTGAAATGATATCTAACTTTCCAAGTAAATTTTCTATAGTATTCCTGAAAGCATTGTCATGAGTTATATTACTGACATGGAAAAAATACTACACTTGGCAACTACAGGCATTTATGTAATTTTATCACAGAAGAAAATTTGAAAACAAAATTGTCACTTTGATTCTGTCATTCTTTCCTACATCATCATCACTATCCTTAGCTGTTCTTCCTGATAAAGTCATCTCTAACATGGTATTAAGTTTTATAACTGATCTGCTACTGTATTTTTTTCAGCTTGATGTCCTCACTAACAAAAATTGATTATCACACATATATTGCAAGTGGAGCCTACACTGAAAGGCAAATTTGAATAAAGAGATTGACCTAATATGGTCTTAGTGTCAGAAACAACTTCAAAAATGAGGAAGAAATTTTTTTAACCATACATTTGATTACCATTAAGATTTTTCTTTTCTATACTGTACACGTTTTCACTGAAGTATGGAAGACTGGTGTCCATGTACAAAGGCCTCCCAAAATTGGAAAAAGTTATAGTCAATATACAGTATGATATTAGTTTCAGGTGTATAATATCATGATTAGACCTTTATATAATTTCCGCAATCCCAGTTCTGGTTATTTATCTGAATAAATAAAAAACATTTATTCTTAAAGATATATGCATCCCTATGTTGCAGCATTGTTTACAATAGCCAAGATTTAGACACAGCCTATATATCCATCAATAGATGAAGGGATAAAGAGGTGGTACATATTTACAACGAAATATTATTACTCAGCCTTAAAAGGAATGAAATTTGTGACAACATGCGTATTATCATGCTAAGTGAAGTATGTGAGACAGAGAAAGACAAGGGTTATTTTTTTCTACTGAAGTGAAGAATTGGTTAGCATGCTTATAGTTTCTTCATCAAATTATCTTCCTGTTTCTGCTTTAAAATCTACAGTGCTGCATATAGATGTGATTCCAATGCTCTAAATGAAATGTCTTCTCTTTTCTAAATTTCATCATGACTATGAAATGGACAATGAATAACAATATTGATATTGTTCATATATATGAGTAACATATACGAATAATGTATATTATATGTGAATAATATATATTATATATGAATAGAATATATATTCATATATGTATGTGTGTACACATATATCCTCCTCATCAAGGGATTACTAGAGTTTGAATTACTATTCATTCTAGTGATTCAGGTAACAACTTTTGTTGAAAGAGGCATGTCCTTTCAGCTTCCCCTTGGTACCTGGAAGTAAACCTCAGTGGAGTTACTTTTTAATACAGTTATCTGAAATAAGCTTCCATAACAGAATAATCATGAATGCTATCTCCAAATGTCTGTACAAATGCCTAGAATGGAAAAGAGCATATTATTATATATTAATTGATCTCAGTTGTATTTTCTTTTATTACTGTATCAGTTAGCTATCACTCCATAACAAGCAATCCTAAAAGCACATACTTTAATATAATGCTTTTATAATCAAATAGGATTGTATGCTGTGGAGTTTTTTCTCATCTCTCTGAGTTCACCTGAGTCTGTATTCAGATGTGAGGCACTACATTGTGTTTCTAAAGCTTTTTCATGATGTCTTGTTAATTTGTACTGCCCTTATTTCTTCAAGCAATATGTGATGTTTACTCTATTTATATATGTGTGTATTGATCTTACAGGTTATTTTGAATAGTTTATGAAATATTAATTGTCTTAATTTAATATCACAGTTCCCATGTTTATATATGAAACCTTGCTTTCTTCTTAGTTATAAGGTATAATTCCCACCACCATCTGGTATGACTCAGCTACCTGTACTCTTGATCTGAACATGAGTTCAGATATATTTTCAGCAAGCAAAATATAACCAAAGACATTGAAATTAAGAACAAACTGACAGTAACCAGAAGGGAGGTGGGAAGGAATAATGGGGGGAAAAAGTAAAGGATTTACAGGAATAACTCTAAAGAACACATGTACAAAATCAAGAGGGGTGAACACAGGGGAGGGAGGTTGTGAAGGCTGGGGTAGGGGTTGTGAAGGGTGGGGGAAAAGGCAGAAAACCATACTTGAACAACAATAAAAATCAAAAGTATTTTAAAAAGAAAAAGAAAATGATTATATAATAAGAATCTTACTTCAACCAGATCTTGTAAGGAATAAGTAAAATATTGAATATACTTTGTTGAATCCAAAGAAAATGTTCAAGAATGAGGAGCATGTGTGCAGTTATTACATCTTTTTCTTTTTAAAAATTATTTTTAATTGATTTTGCTGTTACGGTTATCCCAATTTCCCTCTCTTTCCCCCTCTTTATCAAGCACCCCCACTTCCTCAGGCAATTCCCCCACCTTTCTTCAGGTTCACGGATCATGTGCATAAGTTCTGTGGTTATTCCATTTCCTATACTGTACTTTACATTCCCATGGCTATTCTGTAACTACTACTTATTTGTACTTGTTAATCCTCTCATCTCTTCATCCATTCCCTAACACCACCAACCCATCTGACAACTATCAAAATGTTTCCCATATCCATGACTCTGTGTCTGTTTTTCGTGTTTGCTTAGTATGTTTTTTAAGTGTAGCTGTTGATAGATATTTATTGCCATTTTATTTTTTTCTAGCTTTGATCTTTTTTTTCTTAAATAAGTCCTCTTAACATTTCATGTAATAATGGTTTGGTAATGACAAACTTCTTTAGTTTTTTTCTTATCTGTGAAGTTCTTTATCTGTCCTTCAATTACAAATGATAGCTTTGCTGAGTACATCAATCCTGGCTATAGGTCCCTGCTTTTTATGACTTTGAATAAATCTTGCCAATCCCTTCTAGCCTGAAAATTTTCTTTTAAGAAGTCAGCTGACAGTCTCCATAGGTAACTAATGGCTTTTCTCTTGCTTGTCTTAAGATTCTCTCTTTATCTTTAACCATTGGGATTTAGTTTTTTTATTGTTTTGTAAATTTTATTTTTATTTTATTTTATTTTTTATTGTTAAATACAGTTGTCTCCATTTTCATCTCACCACACCATCATAAAGGAAAGAATAAACAAATGGGATCTTAACAAAATAAGAAGGTCTGCACAGCTAAGAAAACATTAGCAAAATGAAAAGAAACAACCATATGGGAAAACATATTTACCAATGATATCTCAAAGATTTGATCTCCAAAATATATAAAGAACTCACAAGAGTCCACCCCAGGAAGACAAACAGCCCAATAAAAAAAAATGGGCAAAAGACTTAAACAGACATTTCTCCAAGAAGGACATACAGAGATCCAGAGACATATGAAAAGATCCTCAACATCACTAGCCATCAGAGAGATGCAAATTAAAACCACAATGAGATGCTACTTCACACAAGTGAGAATGGCCATCATAAACAAATCAGCAAACAAGTGTTGGAGAGGTTGTGGAGCAAAGTGAAACCTAGTGCATTTTAGTGATAATGCAGACTGGTGCAGCCACTGTGCAAAACAGTGTGGAATTTCAACAGTAACCTTTGGTATTTTAATTATGATGTGTCTTGGAGTGAGCCTCTTTGCACCCATCTTGTTTTGGATTCTCTGTGCTTCTTGTACTTGCATGTCTATTTTCTTTGCTGAACTAGGGAAGTTTTCTTTCATTATTGTTTCAAATAGATTTTCAATCTGTTGCTCTTTCTCTTCTTATTCTGGCACTCTTATAATGCAAACGTTGGAATACTTAAAGTTGTCCCTCAGACTGCTTACACTCTTTTTTTCTTTTTTGATTCTTTTTTATTCTTGTTTTTCTGATTTGTTGGGGTTTTTTTTTGGCGGGGGGCTTCCTTATGTTCCAAATAATTGATTTGATTCTCAGTTTCAACCACTCCACTGTTGTTTCCCTGTAAATTGTTCTTTATTTCAATGAGTGAATCCTTCATTTCTGATTGGATCTTTTTTATGCTGTTGAGGTCCTCACTAAGTTCCTTGAACATCCTTATAACCAGTGTTTTGAACTCTGCATCTGACAGATTGCTTATCTCCATTTTGTTTAGCTCTTTTTCTGGAGTTTTGATCTGCTCTTTCATTTGGGCCATGTGTTTTGTTTGTTTGTTTGTTTGTTTTTGTCTCCTCATTTAGGCAGCTTCCCTGTGTTTGTTTCTATGTATTAGGTAGTGCTGCTATGACTCCCTGTCTGGGTAGCATGGTCCAATGTACTAGGTGCCCTTGAGGGTCCTTTGGCTCAGCCTCCCCTATCACCTAAGCAGGGTCTCAAGGTGTGCCCTCCATGTGGGCTGAGTACACCCTCCTCTTATAACTGAGCCTTGATTGATGGCAGGTCACTGGGAGGAGATTACCCAGGCCAGTCAGCTGCAAATCTGGCAGTGACCACTGACCAGAAATCTTCGCCCTCTGTGGAGGATCAGTTGTGCAGGAGTAGGGTGGTGGTCTGCAGCTGTCTACTGGGTGTGCAGGCTCTGGGATTTCCCAGGTGATGCAGGCCAAGGTCAACCCACACCTGTGTTCTGCCCAGGGCCCACCCTGCATAAGCTATAAAACAGTCTGAGATGGCTGCTACTGGTGCTGGTCTTGCAGATTCCCAGAGGAAGCCTAAGTGTGAATATAGGCTGGCTGCTGCTAGTGCCAGGCCTGGGGCCACTTAGTGAGAGTTATGGAGGCTGGGGGCTCATTGAGTCCAGCAGTTGCTTGTTTGATAGGATTTAGGAGGTTGTGAAGTATG